ATCTTTATCGAAATGGCACGGCATTGTCCATGGAATATAAATCAGCAAGCGTTGAAGTGTGGGATCGCTTTCGTTTCGGTAAATCACTCCATAATAGAAAATGGACGTCGGGATGGAAATTTTACGTCCTTTCTTCATTAGAAGATCGTTACGTCAAATTTTACTTTATTTTTCGATCCTCAATATATGTGCAGGTTTTGTCCTCTAGCGCATGTAGATTTATGCAAGTCAAAAGCAAAAAAATATCATCACAAATAATTATGCATATATCCTTTTCTATCTGTGATCGTTGTTTTGCGCGCCATATTGTTTAAGGCTTTTCTGCTACATATGACTCTCGAAATCTATAACTGTTTATCCGTAGCATGGAATAAAGAAACGTTCTTCATTCAATAAAGTAGCAATCATGGCTCTCCACAGACGCCATTTAATTTAGTTTTCATATGCGAAATGACATTACTTTTTTTATTGATTGATTTCTTTTCTACATCTTACCAACTTACCAAAAAGAAGGCCGGAGCGTACAACGGCCGAAACGTTGTAATAAATGTGGCGACAAAGATTAGGACAATAGTCCGAATAATGTAAATAATACATTATCTCAGAATTATAGACAGATACGAGAAAAATATGTTTAGATTGTAAGAATTCCTTTTGAGATAATAGGTAATAATGGTTTAATGATATACATCTTACTAATTATCCCATAACTGGGGGAGAATAAGTGGATTCATACACTTCCCTAATTTATTTAGTGAATATAATGAACCTAAATGGAACTGAAAGCTACGATTAACAATTTGGAGCATTTATACATTGCAACACCTGCACAAACAAGCTTACAGTAGCGGTCACCCATCTAGGTACTGACTAAGGTGGACGTTGTTTAACGTCGGTGATCTTCCGGGATGTGGGTGTCTGCCGTTTCTGAAAGATCATAGCACTTAAAAAAAAAGAAACGAAATGATGGCCGCGATCTCGGCTTTCCGATTAACAATCCCATGACATCATACATTACACCACTCTCACATCCAAGCTTACAGCACCTGGTATTCCCATACAGTCACCCACCTAGGTACTGACCACACTCAAAGATGCTTAACTTCTGAGATCGTACCGGTGTTTTAAAGTAATGTGTCCGTGTGCGTGCGTGCGTGCGTGTGTATGTACACACACACACACATATATAAATATACACACACACACACACACATATATATATATACACACATACATATATATATATATATATATATATATATATATATATATATATATATATATATATATTTGGTTGTATTTATTCAAAATTGCTTGTATGCATATTTATTTCCGAATATATATATATTATATATATATATATATATATATATATATATATATATATATATATATATATATATATTTAATTTTTATTCTAATCGGTGTTTTTATTAACGTAGTAAAAAATTGTTTATATCGCTTATTTAATAGTTTTGATTTGGTTTGGGAAGATAATTAAAGTTATTCATTTCAATTTTGGGGTTCATTGTTGTAGTTTATTCTATTATTTTGGCGGTAACACCTTTTGTTTAATACTTCATGTATTTATTTGGATTGATTACGTTTATTTGTTTTTTTCTAACGGTTAGTTTATCGGGATAGGTTTGTTAGTTTATTTATTTATTTGGCTGAATTTAGATCAAATTATTTTACTTGTTATTATTTATTTATTATACTGTAGTATTTTTTCTTTCTTTCTTTTATGGTTATACAACAGTTATAGCTATTTTTTTCGTCCCACTAATATTTTGGCAATAAGGGTTTACTAATTTGGCCTGACGATTGCATCTAGCATGAAACAGACTGTGGTCTCTAAGTGTTGACTTCTATGTTCACTTTTATATTTACACACGTTCTATCTCTGATATTGAGCACTTTAGCCCATAAATATAGCACATCTTAAGACCATATTTCTTCATATATATATATATATATATATATATAGTAAAAAAAGAAAGAACAGTAAGATATATAATCCGGTGTTCGTATTGATATTTTTATTTTTACAAAACAGTGCTCAATCAGTTAATTTTTTATATATATATATATATATATATATATATATATATATATATATATATATATATATATAGCTCTAAATAAAGTGGACGTCATATCTAAGGCACCTTTCGTAAACCCTTTGTCAAAGATATTCGTTGGCAATATTAGATAGAAATGAATACAAAGACAACTTAAATATATATATATATATATATATATATATATATATGTAAATGATATATATATATATATATATATATAGATATATGTAAATGATATATATATATATATATATATATATATATATATGTAAATGATATATATATATATATATATATATATATATATATAAATGATATATATATATATATATATATATATATATAAATATAAATGAATACGAAAATAACTTAAATTAAAATCCAAAATTAGGTCGTCGACTCAATATAGTCAGATTATCAGCGCAAACGGCATGTGAGAAAAAAGTTGATCGAACGGTGATAATAGGGCAAAATTAGTGTCCTTGCTCATCAAGAAGGATAAAGCTGTGATAGTGTTGGGGCGCACCCCACCTTCTCATCAGAATGGACTGATCTCTCTACTACTAATAGGACAGATCTGGGAAGATCAGGTGACCATCACACTTCCCTCTCTCTACCGGAAGATACAGTTGGACTTTATACTCTTTCTGATTGTTACTGATAAACCTGCGTTCGTTTTGACTACTCATCTCTCTGTTGTAAATACCTCTTCAGATATACCAGAATTTTTCCCTACGTATGTGTTTGTCCTTATTTCAATACACGCACGGGGAAACACTCAACATCTCAACAGATAGTTAGGGCTATGTTAAAAATAATACCTCTGAACGCGGTGAACATGGCCGCTGAATTGCGTGTAGCGGAAACTCGGAATGGATCTCAGAGACATCACACGTGCGACACGTTGCCGCATAAGCGGATCGTGACAACAAACGCGGGCGTATGTGAAGCTTTTCATGATTACTTTCAGTACTTTTTTCACCAGAGAGCTCGGTCTGAGCACTGCTCAGTTCGACACCTATTTGGCCGACATTCCCTGCCTCGAGAAGTGGCTGGGTTCGAGGGTCCCATCATAGAGTTGGAAATCTGGGAAGCTCTGAAGGTGGTTGGCCGGGACTAAACTCCGGGATTTGATGGTCTTCTTTACGAACTGTATTTGCAGCAGTCGCCTGTTTTTTTTTTTTTTTCCTTTGCTGGAACTAATTTGGAACTGACGTGCTGTGAAAGGAGGACTATTCAGAATAACCTTCATTTGTGTTATGGAGTCGTTTCATCAGTGGAGGCTTGTATTTGTACTAAGTCGGTCCTAAAATAGGTTCGACGTACAAAACGTTAGGAACTTCATATAGGTAATGACGCAGAGAAATCTAGTTGTGGTCGCTGATACTTTAGTATCCGACTAACGGTCGTCCGGTATCGACTGACTGACCAACTCCCTGAGCGACTCCTACTACTCCTACTTATTATAGGTGGGAGAGTCTATTAACTATAGAATAGGTGTGTTCCACTATAACAATTTGGTACGTTTGATCAAACATCAAGTTGAAAGTGAAACCAGCTGATTAATTTAGGTCAGCCCAAGGCATTCGATAAGGTTGACCATTTTTAGAGGCTGTCCTATCTGCCACCGTTTTTGAATCGCACTTTCGGACCTGGATCCGGCATCTGTATATGTCCCCGGTTCGATCGGAGCCTTTCGTTTTGTCTCGCTCCATTCGTTAAAGTTGACCGCTTTAGCCTTTACTGTACGTTCTTGCCTTGGTTAGCCGATACTCCGAAAGTTAAAGACGAAATCGATCCTTCGCGAGATTTCCCTCTCTAGTGCTACCACCTCAGCCAGGTACTCGGCTTATGTTGATAAAGTTTCGGTTCTTGTATCGAGCAGAGACGAGATTGACGAACTCGGCAGAAATCAGAGGTTACGTGACAGTGACAAGAACCAAGATCAATCACGATAGGTCTGTTGGCTTGCAGTTGGGTGCATGGAAGAGAGTTTCTCTTCCCGGAACATTTCTCTGGACCAATGGTTTTCAACCAGGGTTGCGTGGCACTCTAGCGTTCCGCCAGTAAAGCGCAGGGGTTCCGCAAGAATTTACACAAGTAATATGATTGGAATTTGAGCCATCTGAAGAACAGTTTACATTAACAGAAGAACTTGCTTCAAGTGACAGAACATTCAAATTGAAGCATTCTGAGCTTAGCCTGAATGCATTCTGGTTGCTGGTCAAAAAGGAATATCCTGCAATTGCCCAGAAAGCACTGCGCCTTCTTATGCAGTTTTCAACATCCTACTTGTGTGAATTTGGATTTTCAGTTCTGACAAACATCAAGCACAAAAAGCGAGGACAATTGCTGTCTGTGGAAGATGAACTTCGCCTTGTCAAAAACATGACCCAATATTAAAGATTTGTGCAGGAAACATCAGGCTCAAGTTTCTCATTGAATTTTTAATGAAAATAAATGTAATCCATTTAAACTGAAGATTTTTTTAATCCATGTGTAATGACCGTAGAAACAAGATTAAAATTGCAGATGTACGTCTACAATATTTTTACAGTTTGTATTTTTTTGCAAATAAATCTGAAGATGAGTATTTTTATTTTATTTTAATAATTCAAAGCTTTTTTTTTTTTGCATAAGACAATTAATTTATTGCAGGGGTTCCTCGAGTCACTGGAATGTTTCCTTGTGGTTCCGATCCAGCAAAAAGGTTGAAGTCCACTTCTCTGGACGGACACGCCGGTCAAGATACTCGGCGTCTGGTTCGGTAAGAATATCCTCTTGGTCGAAAGTGAGTAAAAGGCCGAGGTCACAGTTCATCTGTGGTCCCGGATGAATCTTTCCTTAAAGGGGAAAGTGAAAGTATGTGCCTTTCACGTCTACCCGATTTTCCTTTACCTAATCTCCGTACTTTTTATTTCCGTGCGCCATACTAATGACATCAGTCAGGCTTTTGTTCTCCTTTTTTCTGGGGAACGCAGGGCGTCCGAGGTACCTTGGAAGATATGTTACCTCCACCCTTGTGAAGGCGGTCTAGGCATGCCTAGCGTTGCGATTCGTCCATATACGCTTCGCATCGCGTTCCGAGATCGAATTCGTCAGCAATCAGATGGTGAGGGCGAATTGTAGAAGGAAGAAGCCTTTAAGAACCTCCCATCCCTGAGAAGCGTGCACTCGTGCAAGGAGGAGATCACACCCCCACCCCGTTTACCACGAAGCGAAACCCCTTCTACCGTGAATATAGGATTGCTCCCAAGCACCTCTTTCCGGCGACGGATGATCATTCGGACGTGCAAGCGTTTTACTGTTATGTTAGTTAATGGGTGCATACGAAAGAGGATGGAAGCTCCATATGGCCTTGGGCACCCGGGTTGAAATGCCTCAACAACGACAAGGCATCACTCACCAGGCCAAGCAACATTCGCTGTGGTGAGATGGGGAAAACCATTGGTCACGCTTCTTTTACTGAAGCTTTGAAGTCCCGTTGTGCAGTTTTATTGAAGATATGGTTTGTATGCTGCGCGGAAAGATTTTCGTCCTTGAGGCTAGTTCTGTCTGTAGCAATGTGGTACCGTCTTTGTCAAAAACTGAACATTATGTTTTTTTGCTTGCTAGGCGTTAGGAGAGTCGTAATATGGATGACATGTCAGAAGGAATTTCATGGGGACGAGAAATTCACCTCTTCCCAACTGATCTTGTACTTTAAGCCTCAGCTTAAAATCTAGGGCCTCAGTGACGAAAAAGACAGAAACTAGACTCGATATAGCGCTGCTACAGTTCCGCAGCGATACTCATCCAATTATTCAGATAACCTCGAAACAATAGCCATGACTACTTTTTGAACTTAACGTTAGGAAAATGCATTTGTTCAAAATTTAGAATTATTCAGTTGGTGAACAATTATCAGGCGTTTTTTAAATAATATTTATTATGAAAAAGAAACATAACAATTCAACAAAAAATATTTTTAAATGATTATACTGGATCGTAGGATTATCGACACGCATTTTTATAACTTGAAAATAAAATAATATTTTCATTAAAAAGTAAACAAAATAGGAATTTTTATTAACAAATAACTCGCTTACAAAAACGCCTGATAATTATGCACCAGAGGATAATGTATATTCGTCAGTGTGTGTATGTCTGGTAGACGTTACGTTTGTTGGTTTTTACGTATGTTGATTTGAGAACTTTTTTTTTTACGTAAATCCCGTTTGTTTTATATAACAATACGCCAGATTCTTTAATAATAGATTCAGTAAATGTCGGTGACGCGATACATTTTTGACGTGTTTTTCTCGTGAGGTTATATGTTTCTGACGTGTGTGTATAGCAGTTACAGTTATTCGTAATTCTTCGAAGTACTTTCGACGTAAAGTATTAGGATCTTTTTTTTAATTCTTGTGACATTTGTAAAATCTAAGTAATGGACTCGTTTGTTGAAAATAAAAAAAACATTCTAAAATATAAAACATATTCTATTGTAATAAATACTTTTATCAGATAAAATTCTTTTTAATACATTTGTTTTCAATTCTAATGAAAAAAATATATATATATATATATATATATATATATATATATATATATATATTCAGTTTCATAGGTTTGGGTTTTAATAAAATTATAAAAATATATAGGGAAAAGAATAAAATTGCCAATGGACTTTCGGGTAATAACCGTGTCAATAGAAAAACCGACATACCATTTTTACTTTGCCGGGAAGAACCTATCTCTATATATGTATATTCATATCTATCTGCCCATAATTTTGTTCTTATCTATCTATCTATCTATCTATCTATCTATCTATCTATCTATCTATCTATCTATCTATCTAATTCTGTTATCTATCTATCTATCTATCTATCTATCTATCTATCTATCTAGTTCTGTTAATTATCTATCTAGTTCTGTTAATTATCTATCTATCTATCTATCTATGTAGTTCTTTTAATTATCTATCTCGTTTTTTTAATTATCTATCTATTTATCTATCTATCTATCTATCTAATTCTGTTATCTATCTATCTATCTATCTATCTATCTATCTAGTTCTTTTAATTATCTATCTATCTATCTATCTATCTATCTAGTTCTTTTAATTATCTATCTATTTATCTATCTATCTATCTAATTCTGTTATCTATCTATCTATCTATCTATCTAGTTCTTTTAATTATCTATCTATCTATCTATCTATCTAGTTCTGTTAATTATCTATCTATCTAGTTCTTTTAATTATCTATCTATCTATCTATCTATCTATCTATCTATCTATCTCTGTTATCTATCTATCTAGCTAGCTAATTCTGTTAATTATCTATCTAGTTCTTTTAATTATCTATCTAGTTCTTTTCATTATCTATCTATCTATCTATCTATCTATCTAATTCTGTTGGCCATAGATTTTCGATTGGATTCATGTTAGATTTTGACGGTGGCCATTCCGTTATCGTTCTACCTGTAAACGTTTTAAGTTCCAGACACCCACATATTTATATGCATGTGACTGAACATTTCAGTGAATAAATATGCACTTTACTTTGAAACTAGAAGTTGGAGACTTAAACTATTCAGAGAAATTCTTGTCTAAGAAACCACAATTAACAACTTCGAATGACCTCCCAAAATAGTTTGCTTGAATATTTTCAGTGATAGTAAAATACCAGCTTTTCCTTGATTTCTCTGCTTCAGATAAGATCAATCCTTTGAGTCAATCCAACAGCTCCGTCGAGCATCACTCGAAATTCTTTGATAATTACTTTAGAGAAATCAATGTTCGTGTATTTCTTGGCACGATTTTCACGCTTTCTTTTAGTTCTTATGCTGAGAAGAGTTTATCAAGGGGATTATTTGACAGATCTCCATTTCCGAAAAATTATAGAGCTTTGTCCCACTTGACTCACTCAATTCTAGTCTGTTCAAAGATCTGAAAGCTGGTTAAAATGATTGTTTTGCGTGAACAGACTTTAGTTTAAGTTCCTCTCGAGGTGACAGGTTATTAGAGCATTGCTTTTACTTCTTAGTTTAGTTATATTTTCAAATATTTTCTTTATCATTAAATGATCTCTGTGAAGATGGTTTGATATCTCCAAAGCGCACATTCCTGAACGTAATAAGTTCGTTATTTTCTGTTTGTCAGCATTGAATAATTCCTTTCTTTTACGCTAATTTCAACGTTAGTTTCTCTCAGGAAGCTGCTAGGCGACCAAAATTGGAAATTACAAAAGTCGAATGATTTTCTTAAACAACGTCGTGTGTTTCTTTCTTTTTTTCTTCCTTTTTTCTTTCTCTCTTTCTTTCTTTTTTCATTCTTTCTTTCTATCATTCTTTCTTACTTTTTTCTTTCATTCTTTCTTTTTTTCTTTAATTTTCTTTCTTCTTTCTTTCTTTATTTTTTTCATTCTTTCTTTCATTTTCATTCTTTCATTTTTCTTTGTTTTTTCTTTCTTTCTTTTTCTTTCTTTCTTTCATTCGTTCATTCTTTCTTTCTTTCTTTCTTTCCTTCTTTCTTTTTTCTTTCGTTCTTTCTTTTTTCTTTCATTTTTCTTTCTTTCTTTCTTTCTTTTTTCATTCTTTCTTTCTTTCATTTTTCTTTCTTACATTTTCTTTCTTTCATTCTTTTTTCTTTCTTTTTCTTTCTTTCTTTCTTTTTCTTTCATTCATTCATTCATTCATTCTTTCTTTCTTTCATGCTTTCTTTCATTTTTCTTTCTTTATTTCATTTTTCTTTCTTTCTTTTTCTTTCATTCATTCATTCATTCATTCTTTCTTTCTTTTTTCATCCTTTCTTTCTTTCATTTTTCTTTCCTTCTTTCTTTATTTTTCTTTCATTCATTCATTCTTTCTTTCTTTCATTTTTCTTTCATTTTTCTTTCTTTTTTCTTTCTTTCTTTCTTTCATTTTCTTTCTTTCATTTTTCTTCCTTTTTTTATTCATTCATTCTTTCTTTCTTTCTTTTTTCATTCTTTCTTTCTTTCTTTCATTCTTTCTCTCTCTCTTCTTTCTTTTTTCTTTCTTTCTTTTTTCTCTCTTTCTTTCTTCCTTTCTTATATATACATTTGAGAATTCGGGCTCTTAAATTGTTTTTACTCATAGATGGTTGTCTTTGTTGTATGAATATTGCTTTGATAATTTTTTTTTACTGTTTGATTTTTCTAGCATTTTAGTATTGTTTGTAACTAGCTGTCTAATGTTACTATGATATGTATGCTGCTTATTAATGTGTTCCTGATGGCGCTCTGCTCTGATAGATGGCAGGTTAGTCTCCGCGAGATTGTGCTTGTGGTGTATCCTATGCCAGACTCATTTTTTTTTTTTTTTTTTTACAGAGCAATATTCTCCGAGTGGGCAAGTATATTCATACACAAGATTGGTATTTTATAGGTGGTTGGAAGTATGGGATATATTATTTTTTATTAATTAAATTGCTAGTTTTTTTGTTTGTTTTATTTTATGAAACTAATGTATTTATTTTTATCTATATATACATATATACACTGTTACGTTAGAATATCTATATCTATGTAGAATATCTATCTATCTATATCTATATCTATATATATATATATATATATATATATATATATTATACACTGTTACGTTAGAACATGGACATATCCACTACAAAATTGTACATTATGTTTCAACGTTAAAAATAAACGTTTCTTCAGGTGGTTAACAGTGATGGTACCAAAACGATTTTATTCAAAATTGAAAATAATGAAACACTGCCTCCTTTTCAGTTTTGGGAAAATTTTTCCATAAAAGGTAAAAAGGATTTATTTTATATAAAGGAAAGAATATTTATTGGTCTGATTTTCTATTGAGCCCTGATTGAAATTAATGTTTTGAACATTGTAATTTTATTTTTCGTTCGTTTATATTTGGATATATATATATATATATATATATATATATATATATATATATATATATATATATATATATATATATATATATATGTATGTATGTATATGGCCTGACGATTGCATCTAGCATGAAACAGACTGTCGCCTCTAAGTGTTGACTTCTATGTTCACTTTTATATATATATATATATATATATATATATATATATATATATATATATGTATGTATGTATATGGCCTGACGAATGCATCTAGCATGAAACAGACTGTCGCCTCTAAGTGTTGACTTCTATGTTTCACTTTTTTATATATATATATATATATATATATATATATATATATATATATATATATATATATATGTGTGTGTGTGTGTGTATATGGCCTGACGATTGCATCTAGTATGAAACAGACTGTCGCCTCTAAGTGTTGACTTCTATGTTCACTTTTTATATATATATATATATATATATATATATATGTGTGTATGTATATGGCCTCACGATTGCATCTAGCATGAAACAGACTGTCGCCTCTAGGTGTTGACTTCTATGTTCACTTTTATATATATATATATATATATATATATATATATATATATATATATATATATATGTGTGTATATATGGCCTCAATGATTGCATCTAGCATGAAACAGACTGTCGCCTCTAATTGTTGACTTCTATGTTCACTTTTATATATATATATATATATATATAATAAAAAGGCTTAAACACTAATATTCCATTCTGTCCTAGACATTGAGTTCTACCTGGATTCTTCCTCTTGGATTTTTTTTTCTAAAAATATACATGTATGGGTATTTATATATCTTGCATATGTATGTATATTTACCACTAATATTATCTATCTATCTATCTATCTATCTATATATATATATATATATATATATATATATTGCGGATAGAATTATTCACCTCCATTGAACGTTTGCTTATTTTCTAAGAAAATGCGAATTCAACACGTAGCTGAAGATGGGTCTCCACATTCTTCTTTTTCTTGTAGCTCTTAATAAGTATTATTTTTTTGGTTATCTCTCCTAAAATCTGTTCTACCATCCATTAGCTCAAGTTCATCCAGTATGTTACGCGCTGCTTTTCTCTCTTTTTCCTCAATCTGTCTTGTGAGTATCAGATTTTCCAAACAATCCTTCCTCATTACGTGCCCCAGAAATTTCAACTGCCTGTTCCTGATTTTAAGTATAAGTTTCCTTTTTGTTACCGTTTTCTGCAAAGCCTCATTGTTGGCCAATTGTTCAGTCCATAGTATAAACGACTTCCGTTAAAATAACCTCCAAAATAGACTACCCACAATGCACCACTGACTCGTATATATATATAAATAGCCGAGAAAAAATAACAACACTAGTGGCCTGACGATTGCGTCTAGCATGAAACAGACTTCAATGTTCACTTTTATATTTACAACACACTTTATCCCATAAATATAGCACGCTTTAAGACTATATTTCTTCATATATATATATATCTATATATATATATATATATATATATATATCATATTAGTGGTCAACATATATTTCGGAAATAACATATATAATGTATTTCGGAAATAAATATGCATACAAGCAATTTTGAATAAATACAACCAAAAAGGTCAGCCTGTGCAAAGTTTTATTGTCTTTTTCGAACTTTTGAGGGATCGTAATTGTAGAAAAACTGCTCAAAGTTCATGGATGGAATCCAATATGGCGTCAACGTTGTAAATTTTAATCTTTCAGCGAACAAAATATGGAATTAAAGGACTAAATGACTGCAGAAATCATATAGCCAATGGAAACTTACCTACCAAACAGACGGACTATGTTTCATCAAAATGACCGAGAGGGTCGAAGTTATTGTAAAAAAAAAAAATAAGATCAAACGTGAAATACTTACAAATTTTTGTCCCAATACACAACAGTTTATTCAAATATTATAAAAATAAAATAAAAGACCAACAAAACCTCTTGTAGCACCAAAGATGAACTGAAGGCAAGAATTATGGCAGCATTCACCAACTTTTGCAGGAGATTCCGAAGTCGTCTGGTGACCGTGATTGAATCCAATGACAATTTCATTGAATAAAGTTATTACTTAGTATATTAAGATATTTTTGTGTAATTTTGGTAAATATATTTGTTAAAATGAGATGTCAGTGTTATTTTCATATTTGCGTCATTGAGACGACAATTTATCCATTGCGCCATCTATCTATCTATCTATCTATCTATCTATCTATCTATCTATCTATCTATCTATCTATCACTGTCTGTTCACTATCTATCTATCTATTTATCTATCTATATATATATATATATATATATTCCTCTCTCTCTCTCTCTCTCTCTCTCTCTCTCTCTCTCTCTCTAAATAAATAAATAAATAAATAAATAAATTAAAAAAAAAAAAAAAAGACACGGTGGAGTAATGAATAGCGGCTTGGATTGAGGAATCGGAGAGCCGAGTTCGAATTCCAGTCGAATACATTACATTCAC